ATACCTTAAATATAGGTACATTCTGAGTCAGCTAGAATTATATAATGAGGAAGCAGGAAGGACCTTTGTAAGTATTATACAATGAAGTATACATTGTAAGTATACAATGAAGTGACTCTGGAGCCACTTATTAACTGTGACCTTGGACCACCTCCACCTCTGTGCCTCAGTGTCTTCACCTGAAAAATGGGGATTAAAAAAAAAGGGAATCACTCTTCAAAATTGTTGCAAAGAGTACATAAGTCAATTCCTATAAAATATTTAGAATATGTTTGGTGCATTGTAAGTGCTAACATGTTTATTTTACTATTCTTAGTTATAAATGGGTAAATCCAGGTCAAACTCTGGTTGGGGACACTGCTAAGATACTGTACTCTGTAGGTGGAAACCACATGGGAGGCCTAGGTTTGATTCCTAGTCCTACTTAAAGGCTGAGTATGGTAGTGTGTGTCTATAACCCCAGTAACTTGGGAGGTTGAGACAGGACTGTGAACTTGAGGCTGGACTAGGCAGCATGGTAAGATCCTGTTTTTAAGTAAAACAACAAACAAGGCTGGCAGGTGGTGTGGTGGTTAAAGGTGCTGGATTCCCACATGGCAGACTGGGGGTCAAGTCCTGGACCTGTGTGGCTTGCTTTCTCACTTCCCCTTTCTCTCTCTCTCTGTCTCTGTCTGATCAAATTAAAAATTAATAATAATAAGTGGAAATAAACAAAAATAAATCTAAAAAAAAAAGAAAACAACAAACAGAGTCACCAGGTAGCATGGTGGTTAAAGTGCTGGATCCTACATGTCTAACTACATGGCTCAAATCCCAAATCCAGCAGCATGAAAAACACACTGGGCACATGTGCATGTATGCCCAAAATCTTGAGAGGAGAAGGGACTGCAGTGTGAACATCCCACCTGGGGAGTACTTTCTCACTTTCCCTCTATCTGTCTCTCTCTGGTGAATGCACATGTCTCAGGGCAAATTAAAAAAAAAAAAACAAAAACCTGGTAAATTCTATTTTTTTGAGAGTTTTTTTTTTTAATTTTTATTTTTATTTTGCTATAGGGCGCGTGTGCTCACCAGATAGACAGAGAGAGACAGAGAGATAGAAAGCGAGAAATCACCCCCCAGGGGGGATAGCCACACCGCAATCCCTTCTCTTCCATTCTCCTCTCAGGATCTTGAGCACGCATGCACACGCGCCCGGCATGAGTTTAAGCCACCGGGTCCGGGATGCAAACTGCGGTCAACTACGTGGGAATCCAGTGACATAGCCATTACGCTAACTGCTGGTTCTGTCAAATTCTATTAATTTAATGGGGGTAGACACTAAAGCTCAGAATGATGAAGCTAGCAGTGGTTGAACTAATATTAGACTTTAAGTTTCTTTGAACCCTGAATCAGTGTTCTAGAACATTAAACATATAGCCCTGCATGCATAATACATAGCCCTGACTGAATCTTAGGTCTTGAAAGAAACAAGTAACATATAGTATCTAGCAGTACGTCTCACTCATCATGGATGTTGGTCAAGTGTTTAATCCATTCCCTTTTCATTCTAAATGTAATCTTTTAACAACTGAGGAAAAGTTTAGACACTATATCCCAATATGTCCAATATTCTGTTCCTTGAAAGATGGGATGGCTCAGAACTATTGAAGAAAACACACCTTGCTGTAGGTGCTTTGTGGTTTGCGTTTGCATCGTCCACTGAAGGAGCACAAGGTCCCCAGCATTTGAGGAAAAGACACATTTCTTCCTTTCCCTCTCTGCATTCCAGAAGTATACTCATGTAGGCAATGTAGATGCTATGCTCAGGACTTGATGCTTCCAGCTTTCAGTAACTGGTAACTATTGATTTAATTCAAGTGGCATGACAAGCTCATAATACAACTATAGTATTTGGCAAAATAAAATAAATGCAGCAAGAGCAATAGAAACATGTGACCAGAAAACTTTCTACACTGCAACCAGTGTAAGCTTTTAAACAATTGTGTTTCTCTCTCCTTCTCTCTCACACCCACATGTATGTATGAACACACACACAATCACACAACAGTGTTTAAACCAGACAATGAGGCTCTGTGTTATCAGCCTTTCCACACCTCCTCTTCATAATGGAGCCCCACTATTCTCCATTCTGCAACCAGATGGGTTCTCATTCCTTTCCTCAAACTCACTCTTCTCTATCCTGATGTGAAGCCTTCACACTGACATTTTCTGTGCCTGAGAACTTTCTCCTTCCAGCTCCAAGTGCACTCTGTATTGGTCTCCCTACTTAGCTAGCTTTGACTATCATTCAGGCTCTCCGTAAATACTTCCCATAAAGAAGCCTCCTCAGACAACCCAGACTAGCTTCTGCCGCCTTTGCCCTTGGCTGGTCGTGCACCTTAAATGTATTTCTAAGTGGGGACCAGAAGTTAGAGCGTAATGGCTATGTTCCTGGACTCCCACGTAGTCGACCGCGGTTCGCGTCCCAGACCCAGTGGCCTAAACCTCATGCCAGGCACGTGTGCGTGCGTGTCCAAGACCCTGAGAGGAGAATGGAGAAGGGATTGTGGCATGGTCATCCTCCCTGGCGGGTGATTTCTCACTTTCTGTCTCTCTATGTCTGTCTGGCGAGTGCATACGCTCTATAGTAAAACCTCCCTTTCTCCCAAAAAAAATGTGTTTCTGAGCGCGTATCCAATAAATATCTTTCTTCCCCACCAGACTTCAGCGTCAAGGGCAGCAGGGGCTGTCTGCTATGTTCAATATCACTTTCCCTCTGCCTAGCGGGCACTGTGCCTAGCACAGAGAGTTGATAAGTGAAATTAACATCTTTCAAGGTTTCGAAGGATCAAGTAATAAACCGGTTTCCTAACTTTTCCACTCAAATTTTATTTAAGGGATCCCACATCAAGCTGTGGACGAGAAAATACATAAACTACAAAACAGACACATGCCTGGTGCATTCTTGGAGAAAAATTCAAAATGAACAAAAATTTCTACTGGGATCCTGTTTCTTGAAGTTACTATGTGCAAATCCACACACGAAAAAGTTACTTTTTTTTTTTTCTTTTTTTGCTATAGGGCGTGTGCACTTGCCAGACAGAGAGACAGAAAGCGAGAAATCACCCCCCAGGGGGGATGGTCACGCCGCAATCCCTTCTCCTCTGTTCTCCTCTCGGGATCTTGGGCACGCACACACACGCACCCGGCGTGAGTTTTAAGCCACTGGTCTGGGACTCGAACCTTGGTCGACTACATGGGAGTCCAGCGACGTAGCCATTTACAATAACTGCTGGTCCCGAAAAAGTTACTTTTTAAAATAAACTTCAGAAGAAGAAAATGTAGTGATGTCTCCACCAAAACTTGTCATTAACGTTCATCACATGTGGTTTAGGGAAGACCAACTCACAGAGAAGGGTAGAGGGAATAAGAAAGCTTGTAATCTTCCTACACTATTACTGTTACTTTCCCCAGTAAATTACCTCCTAATGAATGAGAATGTGTTGAACCCTAATTCTAAGTCTATCTGGAAAAGCACTCAGTGCTCCCGCGGGCGGGCTTCTATGAACAGTGTGCCCACAGGAGGGGGCACCCGGGTCAAACGGAGGAGGAACAGGACCGTGTGAAGACGGCTCTCTCTAGCAATGGCTCTAACACTATTCTTTAGGCCCTCCACCCAGGCACCGCTCACAGCATGCACTTCATACTTAGCAAAGAAAAAAGTAGACTCTTTTTTCCCCAACAGAACAGATGGTACAGGCATCACGACAAAGATTCCAAAAGATCTTTCTAGAGAAATTTTGCTTTACTGAAGGAGACACAAAGACAGTCAGGAAACAGGGAAAAAAAAAAAAAAAGGAGAAAAAAAGAAAAAAGAAATTCATTACCAAAAGATGGGTACTGAACTGAGAGACTAAATTTTCCATACAGAAAGGAAAAGGAAACCCGGGTTGTGGAATTGGAGGTGAAGGGGAGAAAAAGAGATGAGAATGAAAGAAAAAGGTAAAAAGGAAAAGGTGTTACTGACTAGTAATTCATTTTACTTGAGGACATACGCTGTTTTTAACAGAGCTTAGAGGACCTCCAAAAGAAAACAGCCTGGTCAAGCCTCTCCCTGTAAGTTGGCAGGGTACCAGTCTGCCCGGCTCTGAGTTACCCATCTCCTCTAACTACTGACATCGCTGAAGGCCCCTGAAGCAAAGGCAGGTCTTCTAATGAATACTCTTCCCGGTTACATAAAAGATAAACGAGAGCTGGAAAGCACAGGAGGCAAAGGGCTTCGATTTGGGGTACACCCAACAGGTGCACTTGTGTGCGCTGTGTGACCTTAAAGTTAGTTACTGTGCCACCTGATCTCCCAGAGGCCGGTCCTTAAAACACCCAGCGCATCACCACACTCCAACCTTTGAGAAACTGTCCCACCAGAGAAAAGTAGCAACATATCACTACCCCACCCTGAGAGATCCTTGGGACATTTCTGATTCCAAATACATTGCCATTAAAATGTTAAACGCCTAGTTTATTTTCCACAATAGAAAGTTTACTTCCCAAAAAGCACCTGGCAATTTCTAGCACACAGGGTTCTAATAAACGCTGGTTGCACAAATGAAGTAAATACTCGTTCTGAATAATCGGCACAGCTGAAGAACGGTTTTAACCTCAAAATAGGAAGAAAGAACTTCCACTGATTGGGTAGGAGACAGGGTACTGCTTTTAAGCCATCCCTCCAGGCAGGGCAGGGACACAGCTGCTAATATCTGTACTCATTTTAGAGTAAGTTTCTGGGTCTGCAAAACAAAAATTAATGCTCAGTGCCAAAATGAAAACCCCAGTGTACACTTTGGAGCTTACTAAGTGTTAGGCTGGGACTCTGACACCTAGGTCTACACGCCCAGGACTCTGAAGGTGGCTAGGGGAGAGCGGTTGCACGGATAAAGGATCTTCCCCCTCCGGGATTCCACGTTACCGCTGGCTTTCATCGGAAACCTCCCAACCCAGCCGCGGGCCATCCCGCTGACCTCGAGGGCACCGTGCCTTTGGGGTCACCCCGGGTCTGTGTCTCCTCCAGTGAAAGGGCAGCTGCGGCTGCCGCCCGACCCCAGGTACAGCGGGCGCCGTGGTCCTGCTCGGGGAAACCGGGCCTCCGCGGTCCCAGGGGACCGTGCGGGTCGCGGCCCCGAGGCC